CCACAACCCAGGCACGGTGGCGGCGGAATGGGCCGAAGGCCATTGTACACTTAAGGAAGTATGAGATGACGGCGGTGATCCTCCTCCCCAGCGCAAAAGACCCCATCGCGTGCGACAGCACAGTCTGCTGAACGCGCAAGACTTCTGCACTTCCCTGTGCGAAATCGAAGTGTGAGGCCGCCGAAGGAGACTCCACCACCATGCCCCGTGGCTCGTTGAGGCGTGGTAGGGCTCCTGCAAATCGTAAACTCGGGGGCACGCCAACATGGATTAGCGGTCCATGGATTCGGCGCGCGGTCGCCAAATCCATGGATCGGGGGAGGTGCCCTCCCCAAAACGCGGCCGGTGCCGCCTCGTTCGGCGGCGGAAGTCCGCGATTTCCCATGGAAACGGGACCCGTCGCTAATCCACGCCCCCTCGATCCATGCTTGCGATCGCCTGATATATGGGACCGCCCGACACGTTGTCGCGTGCGTCCTCCCTCCCGAGGTTGGTTTCTTGCTCGGCCCGCCGCCTCCCTGGCGGGATCCAGGGCCCTCCGAGGTCTACAGGGCGGCCTGGGCCCAGGAATGCCACCGAAGCCGCCAAGGTTCCCCCGACATTGCCGCACGAGGCACCCAGCAGTCCCCAGTCGGCGCCAGATCCCACGAGGCCTCCAAGAGGTCTCAAGCGACCCCCAAGACGCTCTCCTCAAAAGGGCCCAGAGGGAGCCCCAATCAGGCCCCTAGTCGGGCCGCCCAACGAGAGCCGGAAGCCGGCCCGAGAAGGCCAACGGCAAGACCCGAGACGGCCTAAGAGGGCCTCGACGGCCCAAGAAGCTCCTAAGACGGCCCCCAGAGACCCCCCCAAGACGGCCAAGAGAGTCCCAAGATAGCTCAATAGTGCCCCAAGACGACCGAAGAGGGTCTCAAGACGGCCCTCGAGTAATCCAAGGGACCCCTAAGACTGCCACACAGGAGCCGACGCCAACCCCACGACGGCCCAAACAATGCCCATAAGAGATGTTCAAGAAGTGGAGACCAGAGGTGTCATATGTGGCGGCCTTCTGGGCGGTGCCCAGTGGATGACCACACAGGTGGCTTTGCAAGCACCAAGATAGTTGCAGGGCCACGCGCCTTGGTCCTTCAATCAAAAGTGGCTTCGCTAACACCAAGATAATTGTAAGGCCACGCGCCTTGGTCTATCAATTTTGGATTGCGGGCGGAATGAGAAAGAGGTAACTCGGTAAAACCAGCGATGTATCCTTCTTGCCGTTTTGGCGGTCGTCGTCACAATCTGTGCTCCCTTCTGCTTCCAGCATAGTGATTCCTGTTCCCAGTTCTCAACCTGTGAACCCTTCCCCGCCCTCCTCATTTTTGTTGGCGTATGCTCATCCTTGGAAAGCCCCTGCGGGGCCTCACGGAAGCTTTGTAAGGGCTTCTTGCGGGCTTCCGGAGGCCTCCTGCGCGCCTCTTGGGGGCTTCCTCGGGCCACCTTGCTGCGAACTGCGGTCTCCCTCACAGACCGGGTCACGATTTCGACTGCTTCGGGGGGCGGCTTGGGCCCGTCTTGGGCCTTGGGCGGCAATACGTGGGGGGGCGATAAGCGGGGGGGCCGCGAGGGCTGTCGAAAAGGAGTCCTGCAGGGCCCCTAAAAGAGGGCCCTCTAAGGCCCAGAAGGGGGTCTTTAGCGCCCAGAGGGCCGTCGATGGGGCTCTCGCCGGGCCAACTTGGGGCCCTGCTGATCCGTCTTGGGGCTTGGACTGTCTGCCGGCTCTCGGGAACAGTTTCGGACGGACTTGAAGGGGCCCTGGGACACACAAATAAATACACACAAATAAGGATATTCCCTATATTTTCCAATATTTACTGGGTTGTTGTCTTCCCCGCAATTCCCATATTTTCCCATATTGTCTTGGGAAGCGAAGATTAATTGTGTCTGTGTGTTGTTTCCTCTCCTGAGGATTATCGGGACGACTCTTGGGCGGTCTCTCGGACGCCCAGAGGACCGAAGAGCCAAGACGATCAAACAGCACACCCTCCGTCGGCGGCGAGGCAGAGACGGTCCGCTCCAGCGTGCCGCAATCTGGGGCAGGCGAATGGCGCACTGATATGCAGAAACCACACAACGCACAACGGGAACAAACCAAACATACCAAACAACCAAACATACCAAACCAAACCAAACAAGCAAAACACACAGCACACACGGCAGGGGAATCTGTACGTGTCTCGTGCCTGGGAAATCTCTGGGGGTACTTCTTCGGGCCGCCGTCGGGCGCCTGGTGTGCATGTCGGGGGCCGCCTTGGGGCTCTCGCGGGGCCGCCGGGCCACCCTCCTTCCTCCTCCTCCTCCTCCTCCTCCTCCTTCCTCCTCCTCCTCCTCCTCCTCCTCGATGCGGGCCCGTTGTCTTCGAGGGCCAGCCGGGAGGCGACGCTCCTCCCCCGTCTACTCGTCCCCTGCGGTGAGCGAGGGGGGAGGTGAGAAGGAGAAGGCCTTCTCTCGGTGGCGCGCAGACATGGATCGGGGGAGGTGCCCTCCCAAAATGCGGCCAGGGCCGCCTCGTTCGGCGGCGGAAATCCGCGATTCCCGGATGGAAACGGGACCCGTCGCTAATCCACGCCCCCTTGATCCATGCTTGCAATCGCCTGATTCTCAGAAGGTTTGAAGTCCCCCAGCCTTCTGAGAAGTTGTGTCAGCCTTCCCCGAACACAGAAATCACTCATCAGAAGGCGCGAGGGCTTCTGAGAAGTCCCGCCGCCTTCTGAGAAGGCCTTCTCCTTCTCATTTCCCCCCTCGCTCGCCGCCGATCGTCCTCTGCGAGAAGGGTACAGTCGGACTTGATTGGAGAGGGCACGCGAGAGGATGCAAGACCCTTCCGAGGGCCACGCTGCCACAGGAATGCAGGAGGCATGGGTCGCGATACGCAAGAGACAAAGATTTGGCAGGGTCGACCTGCGAATTCGGGCCGGCTGTAGAACATCAAACCGCGGCACGATTTATGTTACTCCCATCGTACTTAAGTACCACATCCCAGAAATAATTTCGAGCACCCGGACAAGTGTCGAAGGAGTGTCGAAACAGTGTCGGGCGAGTTTCGCCCAGGGCCCGACACGCGAAAACCCTCGAGTTTTGATGTTTCTGCTGGTCCTCGAAATTCTGTCTGGTGATCGAGGCTGAAATTGGCTGGAACATCACATAAGGCACGAACAGACTCGGGTGCGTCCAAGAGGGGGGGGGGAGCGTCCAAGACGGGGGGAAGCGCAAATCATGGCCTGCTTTCGTGTGCGCGGCTCAAGAGGGGGGGGGGGCCAAGATGAAGGGGCCCTGGGACACACAAATAAATACACACAAACAAGAGGATTCCCAATATTTCCCAATATTTTTGGGATTTTCGTCTTCCCCCCCACTTCCCATATTTTTGCATATTTTCCGGATAATCGACGATGAATTGTGTCTGTGGGTTGTTTCCCTCCTGACAAGAGGGGGCGGGGCGTCCAAGACGGGGGGAGGCGCAAATCATGGCCTGCTTTCATGTGCGCGGCCCCCAGGGGGGGGGGGGGGCTGGGAACGTACTGAGATCGGACGAGGCGCCATGAATGGAGCAGGGACCGACCGCCCCGGCACTCCTATAGTCGTACCACGAAGTGTTCCTAGAACCCAAAAATGCTCTAAGAACAAAAACAATGTTCTTAGAACGTAAGCCCGATGTGATAAAACGAGACAGTCCCAGCCAGAAATGTTCTAAAAACATGTCGTGGAAAACACAGGAGGTTCTTAGAACATTGTTTGGTAGGGCTATAGGCGAGCCAGGAAGCTTCGCCACTGCTTGAATGAAAGCTGGGGAGAAGGGCCCCCGCCATGAGATCCCCCCTCCCTAGTCGTCACCCCCGTCATGGCCGCCCCCCGACACACAGTCGGACCTGCAGGCCAGAAGAGCATCCCTCGGGAGCACGAGACCCCCCGCCGGCCAAAACCAACAGAACATCCAAGGGCACCCTCCCCGAGAAGGCGCAAGAACCTCCAGCAGACACGAAGAAACTGCCAAGGGCACCCTCCCCGAACCGACCTCGAACCTGCAGCCCCGGCCCGACCGTGCATCTCCGGAGTCCCTGCGCATCTCTCGGGTCGGCGCCGGGAGCCCCACCGCGCACCCCCCCTCCCGCGGTGCCCCCGGCGCCGCTCCCCGGGCACCGCGCGCCGGGAGAGGGGGGTGGGGCAGGGGCGGGGGGTGAGGCGCGTGCGCGCGGGCACACGTCGGGGGGCAGTGATGCCATGCTCGTAGGCCGAGCACACGCCGTCTCTCGTGCGCGCGCAGGCCGTGTGTCGAGAAACCTCCCTGGGCGCTTGTGCCCCTCCCCCTCTGGGGCTTGGAGGCCCGAAGAATGCGCACGGCGGGAATCTCTCGTGCGCGCGCGAGCCTTGTATTACGGAGCCTTCCTGGACGCTTGTGCCCCTCCTCCCCTGGGGTCTGGACGCCCGAAGAATGCGCACGGCAGGAATCTCTCGTGCGCGCGCGAGCCTTGTATTACGGAGCCTTCCCGGACGCTTGTGCCCCTCCTCCCCTGGGGTCTGGACGCCCGAAAAATGCGCACGGCAGGGATCTCTCGTGCGCGCGCGAGCCATGTATTACGGAGCCTTCCCGGACGCTTGTGCCCCTCCTCCCCTGGGGTCTGGACGCCCGAGATGGGTACGGCAGAAAGGGTTACCCAGCGGTCGGAAGAGGTAGGCAGAGACGGGAAGTAGGATGGCGTTAAAAGCAGATTGGGTGTCCGCCCGCCCCATCAGGAGGACGGGAAAGGTGAAGCCACTCGATCATTGAACTAGGAAGGCGCGTGAAGCAGATTGAAACCTGGGGCTCCAAAAAATACCTACCGTCAACGACCGATGGGCAATTACGATACCAATCCGCAAATGTTGCCCCAAACCAACAACGGCCGCTGTTGGGCAGGCGCCCTTCCGTCTCCAAGGGACACCGTCCGCGGCGACACCGACGGCGAGTCCTGTTCAAAAGAATCAAGAGCTGCTGCCGGTCTGTGTGCCCATTCTTTCCGTACGCATTTCGATCGTCCCGACGGGGGTCGATGCGCCCACTCCCGGGTCAGTCCCCCCCTGACCTTTCGGGTTGACCCAAAAGTGGATCCAACGACAAGGGGGTGGTGCAATAGATTTGGTGCAATAGATTTTGTGGGGTTGCAATACATTTGGGGCGTGCAGTACATGTCGGGGCGCGAATGTATCGCTGTATTTCCGCGTGCAATACATCATTTGCAACACAATGCAACACACTTCTACGGGGCAGTACATCTGCAATACAGTTGCCCAAAATCTACTGCACCCCCCCCCCTTTCAGCTGAACCCTCTTTGGGGCTCCCCCTTTCGTTTTGGGCTCCCTTTGTCCCCCCCCCCTGACTTCTGTTGCTCCCATCGCACTTCAGGACCACATCCCAGGAATAATTTCGAGCACCCGGAAAAGTGCCGAAAGAGTGTCGAAAGAGTGTCGAAAACGTGTCTCCCAGGGCCCGACACATGAAAACCCGTGATTTGGGGGGTGTTTCCTTGGTGCTCAAAATTCATTCTGGTGATCAAGGCTAAGGTCGGCTGGAACACCATAACACTTGACCATAGCTCCGCTCCCCAACGGCCGTGCGGCAAGATCCGGGCGCCCCCCGGAACGCCCTCGTCGAGGCGCGCCTGCTGGGAAGCATGCCGAGGCTGAACGTAAACCGCCGAGAGCCGACAGATCCAGACAACCTCCAACCTGGAGCGCGTCGGCGCCCCCCCTTCCCCACGGGGGGGAGAAGGAGGGCAGAGGAGGAGGAGGAGGAGGAGGAGGAGGAGGAGGAGGAGGAGGACTCTGGGAGGCCTGGATCCTCCCCGCAGGCGCGGCGCGGCCGAGCCTGCCAAGCCGGCGGGCATCGCCGTCGGGGCAGCCGAGCCCGAGCCCGCCGCAGGAGGGGGGGGACCCTCGGTCGCTCAGTCGGGGCTGGAGGGGCGCGAGGCGGACGCTGCCCCGGCGGGGCGCTGTCCTGGCATGGGATGGCTCGTCGTCGTCGTCGTCGTCGTCGTCGTCGTCGTCGTCGTCGTTGTCGTCGTCGTCGTCGTCGTCGTCGTCGTCGTCGTCGTCGTCGTCCCCCTCCCCCCTCCTCGTACGAAGCCAGGGCGAGGGTAAGATCGGGTGAGAGAACATCGAGAATCTCTGAGATCCAGCGGCTCTGGAGGAGATCTCGGGCGCAAGGGCCTTCTCAGAGCGATCCAGAACGCTCTGACGAAGCAATATGGATGCAGCGACCACGCTTCTGGACGGAGGAGGAGGAGGAGGAGGAGGAGGAGGAGGAGGAGGAGGAGGAGGAGGAGGAGGAGGAGGAGAGGAGGAGGAGGAGGAGGAGGAGGAGGAGGAGGGAGGAGGGAGGGAAAGGAGGAAGAGAGGAGGAGGAGGAGAAGGAGGAGGGGGAAAGCGGCGGACGGGGGTAGACTTTGCCCGACGGCGCTGCTGGTCTCGATCACCAAGCGGGATGCTTGCAGCAGGGGCGCTTGGCCGATGTGGCGCTCACGCCCTGTCGCCGTCACCGTCGGCAGCGGAGTACACAGTTGGACACTGCCATCCCCACCCCAAGCGGCAAATGCCGCTGGCGGGGCTCATCTAACTAAGATTCATGCCCTCCTCCTCCTCCTCCTCCTCCTCCTCCTCCTCCCCCTCCTCCTCGTCTTACTCCTCCTCCTCCTCCTCCTCCCTCCTCCCTCCTCCCTCCTCCCTCCTCCTCCTCCTCCTCCTCCTTCATTCCTTCATTCATTCATTCATTCATTCATGGGCCTTAGGAGGTCACCCAAACGAAGCTCGCCTGACCTCAAAGCAAAACTGACGAGCGGGGCCTCGGCCTCTACTGGGCCAAGGCCCCGCACCCACGAAACCCAGAGCCCTAGGGCATTGCAGAGGGCTCTTGAGGGCTCGATGGGGTAATCCGCAGGCCGTAACCCCCAAGGGCGCCCCACCCCCGCCCAACGATCCCCCAGGGGCCCAGCAGAGAAGGGCGACGGGAGGGGTGCGGGCGGGGGGGGGGCACGGCCAAAGCAGAAATGCACGAAGAGGCAACAAGTCACCTCCTCCTCAAAAAAACAAAGCCATCGACCACCCACACAAGGACGACGCGGCCTGTCACCCCAGGTGCAGGCAGCGCCTGGACGGTGGCAGGCCGCGCCCCAGATGTGGGGTAAGCGCACGGATGCCTGCCCAGTGGGTCAGTCGCATCGGGCCGTGCGCGATGGGCTGGCACAACCCACGAAGCCCAGAGCCCTGGGGCATTGCAGAGGGCTCCAGGGGGCTCGAGGGGTAATCCGCTGGCCGTATCCCCGAAGGGCGCTCCACCCCCGCCAAGCGATCTCCCAAGGGCCCACAAAGATGGGCGACGGGAGGGGTGCGGGCGGGGGGGGGGGGGGGCACGGCCAAGCTGAAATGCACTAAGAGGCTCGATGTCTCCTTCACAAACAAATCCAAGACAAAGCCTTCGACCACCCACACAAGGACGACGCGACCTGCCACCCCAGGTGCAGGCAGCGCCTGGACGGTGGCAGGCCGCGCCCCATATGTGGGGTAAGCACGCGGATGCCTGCCCAGTGGGTCTGTCGCATCGGGCCGTGCGCGATAGGCAGAAACAAATAAAAGCACACTCGCTGAATGATCTGGGCAGAGTTTAAATTGGGGCACCCCGCATCTCGCCTATCTGGTCATGCCACCACTCTGCTGGACTGTGGAGGACGCGCCAGGGGCGGCACAAGCGGGTGCCTTTTGGCCACGGGAGTCTCCCGCGGCGGAAATCACGAACCTGGGCTATTTTCGTGTGTCCACAGGGGCCGAGGAGATGCCTGGGAGACCTGGTGCAATAGGAACCGCACCTGGAGCAATACAACACAGGAGTGCCCGAGCTTTCTACTTTTGCGCCCCACAGTTTGTGCCCTGGTGCTGGCAAGTCTTTACCGCTAACCAGGGCCCCAAAACTGGGTGGGAAGGCAGCACATTTGCATTCTCTCGATGGCGGGGCTTTGAAGCTCTCGGCGCAAGCCAAGCACTGCCAGAGACGACCATTCCACAGGACATTCTGCTGCCTTAAGTGTTTTTTTTGGGGGGTGGGCCTTAAACTCTTCGCTTTTGTATAGGGTTCCGTGCATCTCGCGGGCCGACGGCCACAGCTCAAGGATTGAAACGGCAGCCTTGAGCACGGCGAACCAGCAATCTAAAGAATCCTTTACTGCATCGGCATCCTGGGGGCTGGCGAATTTTCTGGCGGCCTCACGACACAGAACATCTGCCCAACCATTGCCCAAAACAAGAAGTTACTGCGCCCATTCACGATCTCCTAGTAAAAGTGATTGGTGAGCCTCTACCTTATGTATAGTGAACTGCTTGTCTAACTTCTGAATCGCGCGCCAGTGCCCCGCCTGTTGGGACGTGCCATCAAGGGCGCGGAACGAAAAGGCACACCCCGTCAGCAGGGCCTGGCAGTCGGCATACAAGTCTGCTTCTTCATCGAATCTCGCTGGGTCCTGCCGCAGGTGCCGGAGTCCCTGGAGAAGGCCACGGTGTTCAGCCCAGGTCGCACTCTGGGGAAAACGCTTCGGCAGTGGACCCCTAACAGCGCGCTTTAGGTCGCCTCCAGCAGTCATTTCCGCAGCCGCCCAGCCCGCTCGGGCCGGTTCAGGCTTAGTAGGTTCCAGGCAGCTTCCTTCGATGAAGATCTGCGTGGGGCATGTGAAATCAAACTCGTCGATCTCGCCCCCCCTGTCGATGTGCTCTACTTGGCCATCGTCGGGGGGCTGCTGCTTTATTTCTGGCACGGGGATCCAGAGGCTTGTGTACAAGGGGTCCTTGCCCACCGACTTGCGGGCCGCGTCCTGGATGACTTGATCAATTTCATTCCTGGCTGGATCCCCGTGTGGACAGTGCCAGAGCCTATGATAGATCGTGTCGCACAGGCCGCAGTACGGGCAGGTCGGCTCGATCTTGAAGCCGCGCTTCCATAGGAGGTGGCTCGTCGGCGTGGCCCCGTTGACTAAGTGTTTCATGATGCGCTTTGCTGAGCAACTCCATTTCGCACTGTTCCAGACCTTACATATTGGATGTCCCCAGGGGTCTCGTTCCCGTATATCTTTAGCCCTGGGATGGACATCTTCATCTGGGTCATCAGGATACGGAAGTTTCCTCCGAACAGCACGTCCCAGGAAGTTGCTCTTCAAATCTGCTATAAACATTTTCTGCATCAAGGCTGGCGAAGACTCCGTGACATTGAGCTCGAGCCCATTCACGGTGATCAGCTTGGCTGGGCCCTTAAACTTCCAGCCTGCCTGCTCGATCCAGAAGAGAACATCTGTAGTGGGGCCCCTAACCCAGCGCGGGCAACCTTTGTCTGAAGAAACTCTCTCGAAGAAGTCGAGGGAATGCTCGGAACACAAACGTGTCTCTTTGGGGGTCAGGGTGTCAGGCGTGCATATCTGCTTGTCCGTCGACATCCACCATTCCTTGCAATATCTACGAAAAGTGGCGCCAGCATGGTTGATGGGATCCGCTGTAGGCTTGAACAGCCAAGCTACATCAATATCTGCTCCTGAAGACCAAAACCCCGAGAGCCTAGCCGTCTGCACTCTGAGCTTCTTCAGCTCCTGGGGGTGGTGGCCTCGGGCCTCCCCGCCATAACAGATTGACGGTTTCAACCCACACGCGTAGATCTTCACCTTCTGCGGTCGTCCAAGTGTGCGGCCCCTGAGTCTACGAATTGTTGGCAATCTCCTGCAATTTGCTTGCCATCTGGATGATTTTTTCGACCGACAACCCTTGGTGGCCCTGACCTTGCCCACATTAAAGTCACCCCCCAGGTTCGTGATCGAGTTCGCTATCGTTCCAGGATATCCGCCAAGGGCAATCGGGGCCTGTCTCATGACCTCGATGCCGTTGGAAGTGAAGTTGATTTTTTTCATGTGGATAGGCAACTCCAAGGTATAGGTGAACTTCGCGAAAACTCGGCCCGCCAAATCAGCTAAACCATTCAAGCACTTCTCGATCGTGTCGCCTATCGAATCGAAAGTAATATCATCCATGTAAACCGATATGATGGCGTCGTCATCAATCCGAGTCTCGTGGATCGTCGGGAGGATGTAACCTTTCACCTCGAACGTTGCCGTCGAAGAGCCAGCTGCAATCCCTCGGTGCGGGTCGATCGTGCCTCCTGCCACCTGGTCCATGAGTGACCTGCGCGGCCATCGGTACGTGTCTAAGGACGCTCGCAGGGCAAAAAATGGAAAATCGCATCTGGACCCTTCAGCCAACATAGTGCAATGTGAAATGTGTTCATAGCACTGCTTAAGGTCGGCCAGGAGGATCCCTACAACTCTGCCTTGGTGATCTGCTACGTCTGCGCGCACAGCCGCTCTCCAGACCGAGTCCGTGGCGTGTCGATGGGGTGCCATATTGAAGTGCTTTGACTTGGCTGACACCTGTTCCCACTGCCGGCAGTGGTGCGCGAGACTCTTGGAATAAAGTCGGCTGAAACTCTTGAAGAATCCTATGGGTCGGCGGCCACTGGCACTCTTGCGAAACAAGGCCACGATAAGCTCCTTCAAATAAGTCGGGCTACTTCCTGTGATATTCATGATGTCGAAGAGACCCCTCATGACCTCTAGGGCGCCCTCGGAGAGCTGCGAGAAGTGTTTAGGATGGTGCCCGTCGATGGCTGTTGTGTGCAGTTTAAATCTAGCTGACATTTTGCGTATCTGGTCGGCTGAGGGCCCCTCAGGGATCACATAATCGGCCTCCAGGGGGTCCTCCAGACTTGCATGCGGTTCATGCGCGCCCCATGCCTTGCTCCAGATACCGCGCTGCTCTTGAAACCTCAGGCCGAAGGCTGTGGATAAAGCTCTATCTGCATGCCCGACCTCATCCTCGACAAAACCCGACGACACCTTCGTGCTGCTGTGTCCTCGTCTAGCTCCTCCCGCTAAAGCTTCCTCACACCAGTCCCCCCATCTCTCCAGAGCCTCCTTCCTCTCCTTCTTGAGGTAGATGCCAAATAGCTCCTCCAAAACAGGAATCCAAACATCGACTGCTTGAACAAACTCTGCATGCTTGCCTTCAGCCTGGGCGAGTACGGCCAGCTCGTGGCAGAAAGCGCGCCAGAAGTTACTGTGCGACTTCCGAAGTGTCCTGAAGGGTCCTCCTCGGACTGGCAGATTCTAAGTATGGCGGTGCAAGGCGGCAAAATGGCTGCTACCAGAAATCTTGAGACTTCTGAATTCTTTCAATCTCCTGATCGTCCAGGTCAGGCATCTGCTTTCACTGGGGAGAGGGTTCCTGGGGGCGAGGGGGAGTTCCGAGAGCCCGACCGCTTCGAACCTGAAGGGCTGACCTCCCTCAACTCCGTGAGCCTCTGAAACTTGATACCGATCTTTAAGCTCCCCCCATGTCCTCGAAGCCCGCATCGGGTATATCCTATCGAGCGTGGCCTGCAGGATGGACTTTTCGCCTTCTCCCGTCGGCACTCTGAAACCTGATCCTGGCGGGTGGCGGAAGTCCTCGAGCAAACTTTGGATTTCACTCGCAAAGTCGTCATACTCGGGTTGAAGCCATACAGGGCCTACGGGGATCTCCGCTGGAAGCTCCTGGTATTTTGAAATCCTTTGAATCCAGATGTCCTCGGTAGCGCTGCTCAGGGACATCACAAGTGGCTTGCGGGGCGGGGAGATCGCCTCCTCATCTACCTTGATCCACTCGAAGCTGAACGCTATCAAGCGGCTGAGAATAAAATAGTCGATTGTCGTCCTGTTGTTCCCGGTCGCGCATGTGGGAACGTTGGGCGCGTAAACTTATCCTGCGTACTTGTTGGGCCCCACGTGCTCTATTTGGGTCTCAGGGCTTATGTTGAAGTCACCGCCCGCGGCGAAGGGCACCCCAGAGGCCAGAATGTGGTTCCCCAGGGTCTTGGATAACACCAAGTTGGCCCTGGTGGGCCCACTTGAATCCACCCATTAGTTGCAATATAGACTGACAATCCCAAAACTCTCTGTCCTAAGAAACGCATGCACTATCCTCCCAGGAGCCAGGGCGCTTCTAGACACAGACGGTTGCCAGGAATCTAAACGTTTGCGAATTAGAATGCCTCCCCCCCCCGAATTCCGATTCTGAGAGGTGGCTATACACGGACTCCAGAAGCTAGCCCACCCTTGAAGACCTAAGGTGTGCTGGGCGTCGGGAATCTGCTGAGATCTTAATCTGCGTTCTTGAATGAACACCACGTCCACAGATTTCTGCACAGAGGATAAAAAGTCAAGTGCAGTCTTCCAGGACGAGGTGTTAGCTGTGACAAATGTGAGATGTGCATTACCCCAGCTGCTTGTGAATGCTGGCCTGGCCAGCCGCGGGCGCTCCCTCACTCTTGGCGTCAGCTCGCGCTGGCGAGCGGGAGCGGCGGGCAGGAGCTGGTTCGGGTTCTCCCGCTGGAGGCTGGCGCGCTGGGGGTACTCGCTGCGGTGGCATGGCGGGTTTGCCAGGTCCAGCTGCTGGGGGTCCGTTGCCTTGTGCTGCTGGTCTCGGTACTTCTGCTCGGGCAGGGGCTGCTGGCGCGAGACCTGACGCTTTGCCTCCTCCAGGCTGGTCATTGTCTGGCGTGAGCAGTGTGCTGAGCTTCGTGAAGAGGTCTGTGAGTTCGTTCTGCTTCTCTGCGGCCACGGCGCTGGCCTTGAGTTTGATACCAGCCAGTAGTTGATCAGCAGGAACAGTAGCCAGATTCTGCTGGACGGAAGGCTCCTGCTCGGGCGGAGCAGCTCTTGCCGCCGCCTCTGCCTATTCGTCCTCGGCGATATTGGCCTTGGTCCCCTCGATGGCGACTTGTTCCTGGGCCACAAGTGCTTCCTGCTGTTCGAGATGCTGGCGAGCGTTCTCAACTTTGAGACGATACAATTTGAGCTGTTCTTTATGACGTTCCAACTGCTTATGATGCTTGATCTTCTTATCGGCTGCAGCTTGGAGCTGGGCGCTGATTGGCTTTGCTGCGGTCCTCTCCTCACGGACAGAGTGCAAAGTGTTCTCCAGTTCGTGTTGGGCCTTGGCGCCTTTGACTCCGAGCTTGCGCATGATGTCCAGGGCTTGTTGGCATACCTGGAGCTGCTGTCCCGATATGTCTGGTGGAGCTGGCTGTGCTCCTCCTGGCTGTTCCACCTCCATGGCTGCCGCGGCAGCGGGCTGGGCCGCAGCGGCTGCGGAGGCGGCGGGCGAGCCAGGGGGGAGGTCCTGCCCTCCTGCACCTGGCCCTGCGCTGCCTGAGGCAACTCCCCCTGGCGGCGCACTGACGGCCCTGCCTCCTCCCTTGCGACGTCTTTTCTTTTTCTCGGATTTTGTGGGGCCAGTTGCAGCAGGTGGTTCCTCTTTCTTGGCCGAATAGTGCTCGCCACAACGCCAACACCAAGACATATTCCAAGAAACTGAGGCCACACAGCATTTGCAGGACCAGCTGTAGGCCTTGGCGCCGCCCTTGCCGTTCCAAGTCTTCCAGGACATTGCGGGATGAGTGTATGAATCGGATTAATCGTTAAGAAGTTCGCTCCTGCACAATGCAGGTTGAAGCTCAAAAATCTGGGCCCCAGGTCGCGCCGACCACCTTGAGCCAGAACGCCTTGAGCCAGGGCTACGGACTCCTCCTCCTCCTCCTCCTCCTCCTCCTCCTCCTCCTCCTCCTCCTCCTCCTCCCCCCCGCCTCCTCCTCCCTCCTCCTCCTCCTCCTTTCCTCCTCCTCCTCCTCCTCCTCTTCCTCCTCCTTCTCCTCCTCCTCCTCCTCCTCCTCTTCACGGAGTTGAGCATCGGATGGCCACAACGACCTCTCGCCGGAGCGACCTCTCGCCAACTCTGCCGAGTGCGATCGGTGATCGCTGGCGCTGTACAGGTCCGGAGACGGAAGGCGACGGCCTGCGCGCAGACAAAGCGTCCGAGGCCAAGTCCTCTGTCTTGGGACCCGGCCTCCAGGTGCCTACTCTTATGTCGGGCGTGTCCCCCTACAGGGGGATTTTCGACGAAAAATATTCAAAACATATTCAAAAGATGCCCCAAAATACTCAAAAATAATCCCCGGAGTATTTTTGGACGATTTTTGAATATTCCCCCTCTAGAGGGACAGGCCCGACTTAAACCTACTCCCTCTCAAAATCTGCGCGGACAGCGCAACCGGCCCTGTCGGCGCCGCCGCGGGAGGCGAAGGCCGCACCGTCTGCCGCGGCGTCGTGCAGAAGAGGCCCTGCCGAGATCTGCGACGCTGGCTTTGGGTCGGGCGTGTCCTCGTACAGACGGATTTTGGAAGGAAGCTAAAAAAGCCGATTCGAACATAGTCAATAGTGCATGTAGTCTCGTACCCAGACTATTTGGAACAACTATTTTTGAATATTCCTCCTGTAGAGGGACATGCCCGACTTAACGCTGGTTTCTGGAGGTGATCTGCGCTGCGCTTCGGCCCTTCCCAGACGAGGACCAAGGAAAAACGACACCACCACCACCAGCGCGAAGAGCCAGGGGGGCCCTCCCGGTGGTGTGGTCCCCCCACCCCCGCTTGAGGCGTCCCGCATCCCCAGCTCGGGGAGACATCTCCTCCTCCTCCTCCTCCTCCTCCTCCTCTTCGTCTTCTTCTTCTTCTTCTTCTTCCTCCTCCTACTCCTCCTCCTCCTCCTCCTCCTCCCCCGCCTCCTCCTCATCCTCCTCCTCCTCCTCCTCTTCCGCCTCCCCATCCCCCTCCGCCCCCTTATCTCTCCTCGCGACTGGTTGTTAATGTTGCCCGTTGGCTGTTAGTGTGGCCCGTTGGGTGTTAGTGTGGCCCGTCGCGCGGCGGGATGGGAGTTACTGTGGCCCGCGCAGGCCGCTCAATGAAAAGTAATGTGTAAAGGTATCTCATGTTAGATCTGGAGAGATTCGCAACCCTTACGGGCATACACTCCCGCGCAGGCAGAAGTGGCCACAGTAACTCCCATCTGGAACCAACGTGGTAATAGTGCTGTGTTAGGGGTTTGGTGGTCGCTGTGCTGTGTTAGTGGTGTGGTGTTGGTAATGTTGTGTTAATGGTGTGGTGCTGGTAGTGGCGGGTTGAACTGTATGCTGTTAGTGGTGTGGTGTTGATAAGTGGTGTGCTGTGTTAGTGGTGTTGTGTTGGTAGTGTTGTGTTAGTGGTGTGGTGTTGGAAGTGTTGTTGAGTTGTTAGTAGGTAGTAGTGTTGTGGT